GAGAAAGCTCCTCTGGGCTGTTTGTTTTAATTTTTAACCTTAGAACACACACTTAAGAGGGTGACAGAGGAGTTAATGAAGAGTGTTGTGCTCCTGTGAAGGACTCCCAAGGGTAGAGCTGTTCAGCGTTAACAGCAATCAAATAGTTTCGTTTTATTTATGTCATCAGGCGATAATGGATGTGCGGTGAAATGTAACACACTCGCGAGTGTTCAGCAGAGGCTGGCGTTTAAATCGATGCCAGGCCGATATCCTGTTTGTTGACTGGACACAGAGGAATTTACATTTAGTCCAGTTTAATGTTCATCACAGTCGCTCCTCTTTTACTAAAAGTGGCAATAATCAATATCTTTATATTGAAAAAATTTCTGAAATGGCTCCTGCATGGTTGTACTTCATGAAGCAGGAGTCTTCAGAGTAACGTTGGAAACTTAACTTTGTGGTTTTACTCTCACTGTTCTTATACGTATATGTTTATAAATAGGGTCAAGAGAGATAAAAATGAAAAAGCTAGAATGGCAGAGAGAGAGCGCACACCTCCGCCATCAGTCCCTTTAAATTCAAACTGCAGCATATTTCACAAACTCACAGATATCAGCTCCTAAATGTGCTTGATTGTTTTCATCAAGGTTTAAGAATTATTGTCTGGGAAGTTGGTGAAAATCCTTTGTGCCTAAATTTTATAGTGTCTTTCTTGATTATTGTTCCATCATAATATCATAGATAAAAAAACTGAGCCAGATTGTGAATCTACTGCCACAAGAATCTGACAGATTCATGTAAAGACAAACTTCTCTCTTCTCTTCTTCACACTTTCACCTCAACATGCATTTCCTACATTTTTCCTCTTTTGGGAAAGATATAAAACACTGTAATGACTATTACAGTAACTAACTGGTTAATTACAGATCACCACACAACATTTAAAATCAATTAACAAGTCCACATATTGTGATAACACAGCTCATTAAACATAAGTGACTGAATACAGCTAAACTGTTAATTCAGCAGTAATATTTCAATATCCTGTTGTCTGGTTTGAAATCACCAGAATTAGACATTTATTCTTGAAGGAAAATTGAAAGAGAATCATTTAATTTCACTGCAATTTGTTGGCATTTCTTATTTCCTGTGAAGAAGATGGACCCTTTTCTTCATGTTTCCGGTTTCTCAAACAACCCTGATTTATGAGGTTTACCACTGGAAGACTTCTCAGTTTACAGTAATTTATTTTGTACAGTTGGTCCCGTCTCTGCTCCCAATCTCCCTGATAGTCTTAGTGCTGTACTCCACCCACTGCACATTACACGGCTATTATCACATCCAGCTTTTAATCATGGAAATAAAAAGGCAATTAAGCCGGACTGAACTGAGCGTCCACCTCGTACCCCTGCCCGCCTGGTTAATTAGCTGGTTCACGTGTAGGGCGCCTTAAATCCACTTCACAGTTAACTCCTGCCACGAACCAAGTCACCACACACGTCTGGTGATGGCGTTTTTAATAGATGATGACATTTCTAGTTTAAAAATAGTTGTATTGCTTCAGGAATATAAGTGAGGTGGGTGTTTGTGTAGAAATATTCAAATTCTCACAGAGGCCTGTTTGAAGGCCGGTGTAAACACTAGCACATTTTTATTATCCCATGAATAATTCAAAATTACACTCAACATTATATTTCCAGGTGATAGTCATACCTGACCTGTGTATTTTAATTCTACCCATTTCTGCTTTGACAAGATTACACAGGAGGTAGCTGACACACATACACACACACACACACACATACACACACACACCAACAGCTGGACTCCTGCCGCTGCTTCGCTGGGGACTCATCATCAGCAATGTGACAAAATTGCTTCCCAGCTGCCTGCCTGCCGACTCCTGAGTGTACCCGTCCGAGAAATCACTGCTAAGCACTGCCGAGCCTGCCAGCAAGCATGCATTATTGATTTTCATTGAAAACTGTTAACAAGAAAAAGTGTGGGCTCGTACTTCTCCACTGGTGGATCATAGCAGGAAGGTTGAGAGGTTAAGTTCCCTCCGGGGCCACTTCTGGTTATAGGTAATAAAAGTGTGATGCTCCTCTTGTGGTGGTTTTGTCTTGTTTGATTTAATTGTATTGGTAACACTTGATTTTAAACCATTTATGAGGAGAATATTAGTATTAATACTGATTTTGGCTCATTATGAATGAGGAAGGGGTTCAGAGGTTAAACCCCCTCACTTGGTTGTGGTTGATTGTCGTTTTGATTAGATTTATTTTATTTAATGTCATCAGTAACACTTCATTTTAAACTGTTTATCAGAAGCATTTCAACACTTAATGAATGATTGACAACACACTAAATTAATATATGCAGCTTTGTGCAAATGATATAAAACAATTATAATTTTGCTATTCCTCAACATGCCCTCCACTGAAGCAGTTATAAAGGAGAAATCAATAAGAAGCAGTACAAAAATATATTATATACCATGTATATTATTATTAATATTGATTTTATCTCAGTTCTTCTCACTCTTTGTTCCCAGACAATCACTCTCTGCTGCCTGAGCTAATTCATGGTGACACTACCAGAGATTGTCTGAGTCCCACCAGCGTTACCACGGCGTGTTACAGCCTCTCAGACGCCTTCATCACTGTTACTCCCACAGAGACGTAGAGGCTGCTGGCACACGTCCGCTGGCGCAGAGCCTTGGCTGATACCTCTGTTTCTAACTAGAGTGTGGACTGGACAGACTGATAACTATGGTAATTAGCAGCATATTAATGTCTGGCCAAAAACAACAGAATCTTCTGTGTCACTGTTTCACACGAAGCCTGTTTGGGGACACTAGAAGAATGTGAGTGGTGTAAATCTCAGTATGTCACTTCTTTGTTTTATTCCTCCTGCTGCACCTTTTTATTCATAAAGCGTAAAATAACTTTATAAATGTTGGCGCATCAGCATCACAATATAATAATGAAATATTTATCCCCACAAACTTATTCTATAGTCTCCTTTGCTGACTCAGATGCCACAGAGTGAACTCCCTGATTTTCTGCCAGTGCATTTCTCATGAAAGGGAAAATAAAATAAAGTATTTCTGAGTCCACTGCATCTGAT